GTTTGGCTTGAAGCTTTATAAATTAGCTCTGCACCTTGAATGAACCCTTCAGATGTTCCAGCGTGGACAAAAATCAGCCTGTTTTTTGAACTGCAGTTCACGACGGCACCAATTTTACTGTTTTCCTCGTGCCAGCATTTTTGAAAAGTTAAATTACTGCCTAGCCACGTTTCATCGATGTATACTATTTTTTGTGACATTCTTCGATGCTCACACATCTACCAAAGAAATTTGTTTTCTCCAAAAAACAATATGAGGCTTTTCAATTAGTATTCTCCTTTTATTTATACACTTTCTCCACCGAAAATTCATAGAGTGTAAGATCTATCGAAAACTTTCTTTCTTCCATTTAAAATTTATTTTTTCCTCGAGTACAGGAATCAATTTAGGAATTGAAGGCACTTTCTTTTCTTTAAGATAAAAGTCATGTATCCTTTGTCGTATGACACACTTATCAAAGTCATCAATTTAGCAATCTCTGGAGGATTCTCTTTTCCTGTTTTTCCCAGGTGTACTCAGGATGTCACCTTCTTCCAAACGGGAGACTTCTCCTTTAATCTTTTTCAAAATACCCTGTGACAAACCAGTTGTGAGGGAGGCTCTTCGTAAAGCTTGTTGTATGGGCAGTTAGAGGGATTTTGTCCTAGATTCCTCAAAAACATTCCAGGACATTGTGGGAAATTTTTCTTGCCTGAGACTTAAATGTCTCACCTTTCTTAAAATTAAAAGGCATAACTAACAAAAATTTTTAAAAAATTAGTTATGAAAACAAAAATTAAAACAAACAAGATTAACAACGATTAAAAGATAAAAACAAAAATTAAGACAAATGCAAAACTAACAACAATTAAATAATTAACGATTAAAATAATCACAAAAAATCTCTTAAAAACTAAGCTGCTCTGTCAGAAAACGAGAGAATAAAAGAAAGACTAGCTCCTCTAAGACTGCCACTAATACTAGGGAAGGGGAGAAAAGATTTGCAGACTTGTGCCAAGCTAAGATCATTACATAACTAGTTACTTTCACTCCACACCCCTATTAGAAGTGACTTACCCTCGTAACCATAGTTCCCGCCACGACGCGAGACAGGTGTCTGGATCTCTTCTCCTGAAAGCCGTACTATAGCATATTCACTGTGTTTCTGTTTTTTAAACTTAACCTTAAAATTGTTTGATTAAAGAAATCTTGAACTTATTCCAAATTTTATTTAAATATGGGTGGGTATGAGGGAATATTAACACGTTGAATGCCACACTAATTTTACATGGCTTGCCCGTCTGGCCAAAATGATTTTTGTGTGTTCTATATTGCATTAATTTCTTCAAACCATTTTATTAACGATAATAATATAAAAATATAGCCATAAATTCAATCTCTCCCTCATCTTGTGAAATTCTCCATATCCAGGAATTCGTAGAAATTTTGACATCACCAAAGAAACGTGTTGCGCTCCTGTGGGTACCTGGGCACTGTGGTATCTATGGAAACGAACAGGCAGATTTCTTCGCAAAGAGGGGCGCTGGGCTTCTCCAGCTAAAACATACAGATCTCCTACCACAGTATAAAGCTACATCTAAAACAAGTTTTTAAAAGAACTCTTGCTTCCAAATTACAAGAAAGAATAAAAGCCAAGCGGTGGAAAGATGACCTCCTAAATATAATGGTTCACGCCGTGAAGTTGTGGCACAGTTTCGACTCCTAACGGGCCACGACTGTCTGGCTGAACACTCGCACCGCATCGGTATTCTAAATTCACCTGACTGTCCACTCTGCAACTTGGCAGAGCCCATTAATAGGACCCACCTCCGCCGCTGTGCTGCATTGCATTCCGGCTCTGAATAATCGCTTTATTGGCAAGCCAGAGAACTTTTAGGGCAATGACTTCGGTCATTCTGTTTAGTTTATTTATTCACCTGTTTTGTCTTTGCATTTGTTTTCTGTGTTATTTCTTGTTTATGTCCTGCCATTGGAAATAAAAACAAGAATATTAAAAGCATTAAAAATTTACTCGAATTATGTGCTTCTAATAATCACTGGCGACCCTCATGGCATTCAACGTGTTAACTGATTGATACAAATAAATTATCTTAATCCAACAGTACTATGAGTTGTTTATAGTAGTCCATTAATAAAATTTTTCTTGGAACTAAAAACTTTTGTTTTAAACAAAGTAATTCTGAAAATATAAATCATATTTTATGATAAAGTTTGCCTTACTTAATACTAAACTAGAGCTAGTGAAACTTTTTTAGTTTGATGTTTGCCCTTAAGCATTAGTCTATTTCTGCTATGTTATTTTCGTTCATTGATGTTGCAAGGTATTTAAATTCTGTAATTTCATTAAACCTGTAATAATATGTAAATTAAATATATAATAAGTGTAAAGTTTAATGCTGATTTCTCCCTAAGAATAAAAAGGGGCAGGGCACTTCCTCACAGAAAAGGGCACTTTGAGTTTTGAAAGGGCACTCACTTAACACCATAAAAATTTATCATGTAATAACTGAAAGTGTGTAATATCATGTAATAACTGAATTAGATCCTCAAAAAATTTTTAGTTACCCTCTTATACTATTTTATGTGTATATTTCAAAAAGTAATTGTCACCCCTTATCTAAATAATAGAAAAATTGTAGTTTATACATAATAATTGCAGGCATGTTAAGAGACAATCTCTGAGCATACATTTAAAAAAAAATATATTTTTTAATAAACAGTTTAAAATTTTTTTCCTTAATTAGTACTGAAAGATATTAGAAAATGAACACTTAAAGGTGCATTTTTTAAAGGTATTTATTTAAAAAAATTTAAAATCACTTAAAAATTTATTAATATACCCTTGAGAGAAAAAAAAAGGAAACTTATAAAAATTACCAATTGAGAACAATCTTACAAAGGTGAATATTTGTAATAGTTATCAGAATTATATCTTTAACTCAGATAATTTTTGTGCGTAATTATCATTTTAACAGTTTATTGATTTTTCTTAAAAATGCAATATAAATAAAAAAGCAGTGTTTTTAAGAGATGGTAGCTTATTTTTATAAAGAGAGTGAATTTATGTAAATCAAAGGACAGGCAGGGCGGCCTTCGAAAAAAGAAAAAGATTAGGGAGAACCATGTTTAATATAACTTAAGTATAATTAATTTAAAATAGAATCGGCTATCTGCAGCAAACACTGCAGGGCAAGCATGAAAAGTTTAAAAATACGGTACCTCACAGTGGCTTACCCTGGATAGGGTTTTAAGGTTTAAAACTTCCAAGAATCTGTAAGCAAGGTGTTTTTTATCATTAATTCGATTTTCTGAAATCCATCAATACAAAAAATAATTTCATTTCAGAAAGGAAGTAAGATATTTTTCATTTTCAGTAGTTTTTCATTTAAAAGCCAGGCAGGGCGACCCATGAACCTTACCTAGAATGAACCCTGTTTTATGTTTGATCTTTCTTAATTTTTTTCCTTTCTCAATTGAGAGTGGTTGGGCTCTGGGTTTTAGTAATAGAATAAAAAAAGATTAATTTCTGTTGCTTATAGAAAAGTACTCTGAAATGTTTTTAATTTATTCTTAAATTTATCGAAGCTAATTACTAACATTAATAAAATGTGTATTCAAACTTCTATATCCTATTTTTAATGTGCATTAAGATAATTTTTTAAGTTTAAATGACTAATTTTCTACTAGTTGGTAAAGGGATTTAAATCTAGAATTTTTATAAAAAAAAGTTTAACTAAATTAATTGGTTTAAATTTCTTCAGCTCTAGTTTAGATTCGAAATACTTGTCAGTACAAGTTTTTAAAATAATAATAATAAACATTTAATCTATAACATTAATCATTAAATATGTTCTACAAATTTCTCATTTTGTGTATCTTCTAATATTTACTGGATATTGTGTTCAAATACAGATATCTGTTAAAATGTATTGTTTTTTTCCCCCCATAGCTTTGATATAATAATTTAATTTATGTTGTGTGCAACACAGTTTTTGGTATAAGGGGTATATATAATTTAAAAATGGTACATTAAGTGTGTTAGTACTACTGATGATTGAATGGTAGCTTCTCTGGAATGATTTTCTGACTGGAACCTCATTGTCCTTTTTATTTTTAGGAAAGCTGTTTTGTGAAGTTAACCGTAAAAAAAGATCTGAAAATGTCATAGTAAGAAAGTGTCCACAGCTCATAATCTATCAACACTTGAACAGCAACAGACATTGAATTTTCAAATTTCGATAAAGTGTGTCCCCATGCTTAACACTTTGCTACTATAAAAAGAATCTAAGGGAGATTTTCTTAAGACATTAAAATCCCCTTATATTCAAAAAAATAAATAAAAATATAAATATGCAACAAAAAAAAAATACTTACAAATTTATAAATTTGAAATGAGTGAAATCAGGAGATAAGAAAAAGTCAAATTTCTATTAATAAATTTTATTTCATGCGGAGTTCTAAATCCTTTTTTTTTTTTTTTTTTTTTTTTTTTTTTTTTTTTTTAATTTTATCCTAAATTTTGAAAAATTAGATTACTATAGTAAAAGTGAAATAAAAGAAGCAAAGGAGGGTTGCAACTTGCTAAGGTATGCAAGGGAAATGGTTTATAACATACTTATTTCTGTTGACTGAGGGGGAATCAAGGTGCTAAAATCCTACTTGGGTAATATTGTGTACGTTCCCTTTTTCTGCAAACAATTTTGTGTGCATTTAATCAATGTTTCTAGATCAAAATGTTTTATTCAAAAATTAGTTTTTGTGTTTGGATTTTGTTAGGTGTTAAATCAATTAAAATGATTTCCATTTTATTAAAATTTATGGTATATAAATAAAATAAATGCTCTAAATTGTCATGTAAGATATAAAAAGTCTTAAAATTTTGTAAAAGTGGTGTCTTAAAATTTTTAAAATTATTTAAGAGTTCTGATTTTCTTAAAGGTTGTTAGCCACTTTTGTCGCTTTATTTTTTGCTGTTAAATATATTAAGAGTTCAATTCTAGGTGTTGAAAATCTTGACAGTGGAGTAGGCGTTTATGCCCCAGATGCAGAATCCTATACACTTTTTGGCGATCTTTTCAATCCCATTATTGAAGAATATCACATGGGCTTTGGATCATCTGATAAACATCCGGCTAAAGATTTTGGCGATGTAAATACTTTAGTAAATGTGGATCCTAAAGGGGAATTTGTTATATCAACCAGAGTGAGATGTGGTCGAAGCTTAGAAGGTTATCCATTTAATCCATGCTTAACTGAACCGGTAAGATAGAAAACAATTTTGTTATCATATGACTATTTCTATCAGCGTTTCTTTAAAAATGCCATTTATCATATCTTTATATATACTACTTATAAGTTATACAAGTGAGAGTTGACTAAAATTTTTAAAGTTTGTCTTTTTTTTTTTTTTTAAATCTTAAATTTAGATTTTAACTGGACTTCATTGCCCTTAAAAAATTTTAATTAAACATTTTAAGGTAAGTTTTTTGTTGTTGTTGCTTTTTTGCTAACTAATTTTACATTAAGTCGAAGACATTTCATACTAATGCATGACTAAAGATGAGATGGTTAATCATTAGTAGATAAATCATCTGATATTAATCCTTGTTTGAAATAATATAAGCACACCTGACAAAAATTGGTCATGCTTAGAGAAATCATGAAAAACATTATTTAATAACATGTAACACTGCCTCTGGATTTGATAACCGTCTTGATTCAGTTAGGAGGTGAGTCCACAAGGTTTTGCAGGTACATTAAATCCAGTTTAAGCCGCTCACTGAGGATTTGATCGCGCAAGTCCACCGAATTGCAAGGATGCTGATTTCGGTCTTTTTACACGTTGTTCCAACATATCCCCAAATTTTCAATGCGGTTCAAGCCAGGTGATTTTGCAGACCGATCGAGATGTAATTAAGTTAATCCATAATTACAAAAACACCCCTAAAACATGACAGACCCACCTCTGCATGAACCTGACCTTGCACACAGTCAGGATGAAATGCTTCATCTGGTCTTTGGTGCACTCAACGACCTTCATCAGACCGTATTTCATTCCGCACAGCTTTATGTGCCTGTGTGAGCAATCCCTTCTTACAAGGTGTGAGACTCGAAATGTTCATTGCACGTAGCTCCCGTCGCAATGTTCTCTCACTTACAGGTTGGGATAGACCTTCATTCACTAACTGAAGTAATTCCTGTCAGTTTGGAAGCAATTTTGATTGACAAGTCGTGAAACTCGTTTCCGGTCCCTGTCGTGCAGGACCTTTGTCCAACCACAATTCTGACGTAGTCTTTTTGTGACCTTGTGTAACCAGGCTTATTGATTTAAATCAACTGATTTATATATAGATATATATATTGATTTTAAAAGTTAAAAAACAGTGTTTTAAATTATTTAAACTTTTATTATTTTCTTTTCTTAGTTTTAAAATTTATTTTAAATATATTGCTTCATTAATTTTAGTTAACAAAATTACTTTCTTTCTTGGTGTATGTTAAATTCCAACACATTTGAATTTACATTTTTAAAAATTTTTTAATTCTTGAGCTTGAAATTACTGATTAACGTGCACATTTAATGGTGTCTTAATATAGACTTGCATAGATATAGAAAGTAATTAATAAACATGATTTTTTATTCAAAAAAAAAAATTTCCAAATAAAGTGTTAATTAAAATTCTACCTTTTGATTGAAAAAGCATGGAATTAAAATCTACATTATATTTTATTGGTAGAAAAAGTATATTTCTAAAGCTTGAAGTTATATTAAAAAGAAATTACCCTAATATGCCAAAAATAGAAAGGAAAAAAAAAAAGGCTAAATTCAGATATTTTTTTCCTGATATAGTGTCATTCTTCCTTTTCAAAGTCTATTTGAAGCAGTAGAGTTATTAACTGGTATTTTTTTCTCATAATATGTTTGCAGTATCTTTGACATTATCAGATTTTTTATTAAGAAATTTTGTGAAAAAAAAGTTCCAATGAGTACATAGATTTTTTTTTTTTAAAAATTTTGGGCTTAACTTATCTATTTTGATATAGGATTAAAAATGAATATTTTAATATAAAAATATATAGATTAAATATTTATTTATTTTTTGATTAATGACTACTTTTATAAACACAATCTGCTACATTTATTTTGTCATATTAAAAATCAAGAGGAAAAAAAATCCCAATTTCAAATTAAAATTACGGTTTGCTAATTGAAACTTTGTTTTAATAGTTAAAGAACAGGGGTCTGTCCAAGCCAAATTTACTACCACTTAGTGGTACCTTCACAAATTCAACTTTAGGAAAAACGATAGTTTCACAAAATACTTTTTCTTAAAATTTTATTTTTTTGTTTCATCAATCCATATTTTTGTGTTGATTTTTTAATATAATTTTTAATTTTCGTAAAATAAGTATTTCTCAGAAAAACCTAGACAGACCCCTGAAGTATTCTTTAAATTCTCTATTTCATCTAGTCTTGAAATTTCAATCATGCATTTGTTTCAAAATGGTTGCTATGCATTTAAGGCTATGTATTATAATAAAAAAATTTTTTAGTAAGTCTTTTTTTAATAGAGCTTCTAAAATATTGTTATAATATAGTTTTAATATTAATTTAATTTTGATTAAACATTTATAAAGTTTTTTTAATCATAAATTATCATTTAATCATAAATTTTCATTTAATCATAAAGTTCTTACAATGTATTTGATTTTTTTAAATTTTTTTACAACACAATTGCTACTATGTCACATCCTTACATTTACTCATATTTACACACAATTTCTGCTTAAGACAAAAATATCTCATTGATAGCTACTTGCCTTTGATCACGTTGAGGCCAGTGCACACACAGTTGAGCATGTCACTTGCGCACTAGTGACTAATTTTTTTGTCTGCTGAGCTTATCGTCTGCAACAGGTAAAGCAATTTTTGCAGCTGTATTGACAGATTCATTTGGAGTATTTGCCTCAATAAAACTTCCCCATCGATAATCAAATGTTTTCACAAAAATTAATGTCTCAATATTTGTGTTATTTTACAAATTTATAAAATAAAAATGGTTTTAATTGTTTAGCAATACAAAGAAATGGAACAGAAAGTCAGCAGTATACTGTCTGACATGTCTGGAGAACTGAAAGGCACATATTATCCACTAACTGGCATGGACAAGGCTACTCAGCAGAAACTTATTGATGATCACTTTCTTTTTAAAGAGGGAGATCGGTGAGTCATTTTTGAGCTATTGGTAAATGCCAGCTTTATTTTAAAACAGCCAAAGATTCAAAGAACTGAAAGAGTCAGATTAGGCATCCACCTTTATTTATATTTTTGTGAAGGGCAAGCAGCACTATTTACCCTCTGAGAAAATAAGATTATTATAAAAGCAGCTTATAGGGTTGCAGCTCCTTTTGAAATTAGCAAGTCTGGAATGTATTGTGTTAAGTACTGAATTAATTTGCAATATTAAAACGTGACATACAGAATTTCCATATACCTTAAAAAATACTAATAATGGTAGTATAATCCTGATAAAGCTAGTAAGAGTTTTATATTTAAAGCTAATATTTAAATCTTTCAAAATAAAGCCAGGAAAACTCTTATAAATGTTTTCATTAAAATATTTAATGTAATATGGTTAATAAATTTGGGGAAATACATATATATACACTCATTCATGTAGGTTTGTGTAGCAACTATTAGGATTTATCCAGCAAAAGTAAAGCCTAGTATTTTAAAGCATAACATAACTGAATTCAGTAAATGCTACCCTTCAAATATAGTAGGTTTTTCGTTACATTTTGTTTTATTTAACTTACCCAGTATCTCTGCAATTTTTGTTCTAATCAGTTGGAAGTATTAAATTTATCATTTCTTCAAAATTCTTCTGTTCTATTTTCGAAATTCTCAAATAATTTATTTTTTTGTAGCATGTTAGTATATAATTTGCCTTTTTTTTCTACTTTTAATTTCTTAGTTTTAAATTTATTTTAACAGTTCTGATTTCAGTCTATTTCATTTTTTCTTTCTTTTCTAATTTTTTCAGCTTCCTGCAAGCTGCTAATGCTTGTAGATTTTGGCCATCAGGAAGAGGCATTTATCACAATGACAATAAAACTTTTTTGGTTTGGTCAAATGAGGAAGATCATTTGAGAATAATCTCTATGCAAAAAGGAGGCGATTTGAAGCAAATATATAAAAGACTAGTAGATGTAAGTATATAAATATTAACCTAAAGAATATTTTCAGAGATGGCGTTAAACTATTCTGTGACTAATAATACTGTTAATCTCTGAGTGAGATTGTACCATTAGCAAATAAAAAATAAATTTATAGGCTGTTATTTTGATTTCCGTTATGTTTGTAGAATATGTTATTAAGCTAAAGAAGCTATATAAATATATATATAAACAAATTTTTATCAAGAAAAACATTTACATAATCTCACTGTTTCGCATAAGAGCCTGCTTATTCAGGCATTTAGTAAGCAGAATTGAATAAGTATTCTATTTCGAAGATCATAAAAATTATACCCTCATGTTGAGACATAGATTTAAAAAATATTGTATGTATTTATTGTGACTAGGTAAGTGGGCACTAAGGGGGGATTAAACGATTGGCAAGTGATTTTATTCCTTACTTTCTCTATACCAAATAGTATAATGCTACAAAAATTCTGTAAATGAAGTATCCTTTATGATCCAATTACTCTATAATTTAAAATTTAGAAAATAATTTTTTTTTAAATAATTGGAAAGCCTGCCTGCTTTGAAATTTGCTAGATTTTAAACAGACATGTTTTACTAAATATCTAAGTTAATGTAAGTATTATTTATTTGTAATGCCTACTCTGTGTATTTTTTAAAATGCTGCTTTATATGAATTTCAGGCCGTAAATATTATTGAAAGTCGACTTCCATTTTCTCATGATGATAGATTGGGATTTTTGACTTTCTGTCCTACTAATTTGGGAACTACTATTCGAGCATCTGTTCACATTAAACTGCCTAAATTAGCTAAAAACAAACAACAACTAGAAGCTGTTGCAGCTAAGTTTAATCTGCAAGTTAGAGGTAAAGTATAAGCTCCACAGTTTTGTTTGTTTCTCTTATCATTCTTGTAGATTCAAAAATATTTAAATTAATTTAAAAATAGCACTTATAAAAATTGGTATATATACTCTCTTACTACAAAGAATTATTAAAGAGTTAATTTATATACAGTGCTGCAAATTTGGCTGCTTAAAAATATTGTTGACATAAATGATTACATCAAATTCATCTCTATTAATAGTTTTAAATGGTTCTTTTTTAACTATGTAAACTAGTGTCCAATGTTTTACATCAGAATGAGTAATACTACTCTGTTTGAAGAAAAAACCTTTTACATTATTTCAGCTGTTCTTCGTGTAAAATGACTCCTGTACCCCCCCCCCTCACTTCTGGGAACACCATATTTATCACTTTTTGATACTTTTGGTGACCGAGAATTGATTTAAAAGAAGGTAAAAAAGACTATTTTTACTATTAAATTTCTTTTCATAGGCTAGAGATGTGAAAGTTCCGAAATATGAATGGTTTTAACCAGGGGGAACCATTTTTTTTGGTATTTTCCCTTTAGTTTGTAAATTAGATAATTAAAAATGATTATTTTCTGTATAACCCCCCCCCCTGCAATGTGCATTGCATCCACTTGATTCAGCCTCCTTGTTTTCTCAGACGAACTTCCTCTAACAACAAAATTACTTAACTACAATTTTGTCTAAATGCAGGTGAAGGTGGAATGTTAGGTGGTCCTCTTCCTATGAATTTTCCAAACCTTCTTGTGTGACCTTCAAGAACTTGCCCTTTTATCTGTGTTACTAATTATTTTTAATATTTGGGGTGGTGAATGGGACTAAAAGCTTAATCATCTAAAAACTAGTCCGAAGTTTTACTACTTGCTACACTTATTCATGTAATAAAATTTTTAATTTATTTAGTCCCTTTGAAGAAATTTTTCCTGAAGCTCTTGCAAGAAAGTTTGGAAAATTCATTGCACAAGGGCTTTCTACATTTCACTGTTTCTGGCCAAAATAGTTGCTAAATATTTTTGGTTTTAGAGGGTATTTGGAGAACAAAAAGATAATGAATAGGATATTGAATGAATGATCTGAAACAGAGTTTATCACACACAGTTTATTTAGAAGGAAAAATTTGGAAATGAAAAAGTGAATAAAAACTAAATTGTGAAGCACGTATTAAAGCAATTAACTTCTTTTGAAACAATTGATGATCAAATAAAGTGGAGGCAAATAAAAAGTATTTACTAAATTAAAAATTTTTCAGATTAATATTTTTAAAGAATATATTGAAATATACAAAAAAATAAAAATAAACATTAAATTAGAAACTTGTCTTTAGTGAGAGTATATGAAAAAGTCTCCAGAATGACCTCCTTTACCCAAAAAATGCAGAAAAAAGTTTCTTCTGTTTACATCCTAAACATTCAATATATCTGTTTCAGTTTAATTTTAAATAATTGCCTGTTTGGAGGCAATGTATGACAATGGAGAAAGTGCTTTTGTCATTTTCTGGTATTTCAATAAAGTAGATGGAAAGACCAAGGCTATAGCTAAAATGCCAGATGGTCACTCTCTCTCTCTGGAAACTTGGAGTTCTTAGGAATTTTGCAAACATTCATGAAACTATTTGAAGTACTAACAGTTTAATTACAACTCCTAAATCTATCGCAAGTGTGTTCCGATATAATTATTATGCATATTAATTTTTTATGTAATCAATCATATCTTTTAAATGTAACAGTGGTACTATGGTGTATTTTTCATTTTAATTAATTATTTTTATTTTCACTTTCTATTAAACAAGCATCTCAATCTTTTAAAAAATTACGATCGCAGACATATTTGTAAATAAATTATTTATAAAATAAATAATGAAATTATTAAATAGATTTTTTTATTTAATATCATGACAATTTTTACATTGGGAATCTCAGGAAATTTGGGTTTGTCTTGTTAATGTCCAACCCCGTGACACTTCAAGGATGTAAAGAACTTTTTCCCATTGTGTAAAATGAGGCAGCTATTTTTGTGGGGAGCCAGAAAATTTTATGGGTGGTATAAAGATAAAGTCAATGAAGAAAAGTTTTGAGTAAATTTTCAACAAAAATTAAAGAAAGTGTTTCATTGCTCATCTGAATGAAGGTTTCTTACCTTCATTCAGATGAGCAATGATGGTATGAAGTAATGATTTAAAAATTTTATTTTTTTGATGTTGCTCTTTTTTTTAAAAAATACTTGATAAATTGTCATTTTATGTAACGATTTTTTTTTTGAGAAATAGAAGATAAATAATTGCTTTTCGAAAATAGTAGGTTCTGATTTTTGAATGATTAATGAGCTTCACTAATATTTTCTTACACGCCATTTTTATCGTCAAATGAAAGAAACTAGTAGAAATTATTGAACAATAATTTATAATATTTTTTTGTAATCAAAGAATTTTATCTATCATAATCTAATTATCTATGTTATTCAATTAAGAAACATTTCTTTTCTTTTTAGAAATGCTAAAGTAGGCAAGTTTTAAAATTACAAATTAATATTTTCATTTCAGGTACTAGAGGCGAGCATACTGAGAGTGAAGGAGGAGTTTATGATATCTCCAACAAGCGGCGTATGGGCCTAACGGAGTACCAGGCTGTTAAAGAAATGCAAGATGGCATTTTGGAACTTATTAAAATGGAGAAATCTGCTTAAATTCTTTATAAAAAATTATGTAATCTGTTAAAGCTTTAAGTTCTAGCATAAGTGCTGTAGACACCAACTCAATTGATCATTCCTTTCTATAGACTAATATAAAATAGCAGAGTCTTTACATGGTTAGATTAAAGCAGGTTATTTTTATGTATGAATTCTTTTTGTCTGAAATAAAACAATATTACTTTTAGTTACTAATGATTGGTACTTTTCTTAACATTTATTGCACACATTATTTTTGATGTTGATCCTAGGCAGCAGAAGTTCTTTAAACTTTACATGGATGTGATTTCTTATTCTATTAATGAATTGGTTTAATTAGAACTAGTTTTTCTAAATAAAGAGTTCGATCAATTTATAGTAAGAGTTATTAGTTTGACACTGATATTTAATTCTCAACCCATTTCAATCTAATTAAAATGATAAGCATTATTTAATGCTGTTTTGTCTAATTAAAATTATATGTTTGAATTAACACCTACAGCCTATGTAATATATTTTAATTCATATTGTCTCATAAATCTGATTTTGAGATGTAGACTCGTGATTAATTAAAGTATATTTCATTTGTAAAATTTTTTATATGTCTTCATATTAAAACAAAAATTGTGTTTAAAAAATTTGTAAGACTTCTAACCCTGACATCATGCTGTTTATGTGCATTAATAACTTTGGATTGGAACTAAGATTCATGGTGTAACATTGAAATTACATTGATTTCACAAAAATGTTTCATTTCTCAGATTACTATTTCATTTGATTGATCAGAATTTTTCCCCCCCCAGAGAAAAAGCTTGTGTGCTAAATATGTGATGCTTAATGGCTTTCTTCATTCACAATAAAATCTGGTTACATTTTTTCCCCCATTCCAGTAAATGCTAAAAGAAACATGTGCTATGAGAATGTAATAAAAAATTACAAAATTAAAGTGTTTGTTTTTATTTTGACTTCCCTGGGACAAGAAAAACACATAAATTTGAAGTTCTTACCTTAGTTGCTGCTTAAGGATTAGATAACCAATTTAACTTAAGCAACATCAAACTATTTCTCTCTTTTAATATAATTGTTTTATGAGCGTTTTCTTAAAATTGAATTTTTGCTGCAGATATGCATGCAGTGCTTTGTTAATTTTAGGAAACTATTTCCTTTTAAGGTGGCAGCCTTAAAAAATTTTATGGCAGAACTGATTGCATATTTTGAGATAGTTATTAAAATTTCAAATATTGTGTTAAAAAAATCTATATATATATATTTCCTTTACATGGCAACAAAAAAAAAGCCTCATTACAACTCCCCGAATGGCAACGCTAGAAAATCGACCAATGATTGCTGCTAAAAATGTCGCATGCCAAATCTTGCTGAGGTAGCTCAACATATAGCGCTTTTAAAAACGGAAACTTAAATAACCTTAAGCTAGGCAGAAGTGAGTAGTCTTTGGCAATAGATATCTATTTTAGTATTTTGTCGAAAGCGCTTTTTTTCACGAATTTATATATTACGAATTTATTTTATTATTGTTATTCATTGAAAAAGGAGTCTCAGTAGTGCTGTTACGCTTTAAGATTTTATACTATAGCACATTTCTAATAGGTTTAACGAATTACATGTCATTTATTTGAATTCAAATTTATTTTAATGACTTAGTATTTACTAAAAAGATGTAATTTTTTTTTAAAAAAAAATTTTTAATATGGATTTGAATGATTGTTTTGAATTCTTAGAATTTTGTGCATTTGCAATGTACCTAAGTTAGTAGCGAGCGAAGCGAGCTTGGTTTGCGAAGCAAACCATATAAGATTGTGTAGCAATTTTCGGGGGTTGGGGAGCAGGGGGGCGCAGCCCACTAGTATGTATATATATTTGAAGAACTGTATTTGTAAGAATACAAGTTTTATTCATCAATAAATCGTTTAATTAAAATAATTTCTTGATAAATATGCAAACTAAGTTCGCGAAATGAGCATATTGATTTTTTTAGGGAAAAAAAATTGCACATTATTGAATGTAAAATTGCTGTTGCTGCAATAGAGATTTCAAGCTTTAAACTTCTTGTACCACATTAGCGTGAATACGTGCAAACATCAATATTGAATCGAGAGTTTATATGATTTTTCAAACTATACTAAAATTTATGACTTAAAATATACTATGGCCAAAGAATATATAAGTGAGAAGACCAGCTCTCATAGGCCCCCATGTAAACCTGTTCCGGAGGCAACGGTTACCTCCATCGAGGTGTGCAAGTATTGCTAGGAAAACAACCTGCCTCCTAACAGAGGGTCCCTCCGTCCTTATCTCGCAAGCAACACCTTTCTCCTTGTCTCCTCCCACTCATGTAAACAGCTAATGAAAAGTTATTCAAACCCAGTCTGCTTTTGTTCTTTAGACTTATATGGTTTTGAAAAAGGTTTACTTACTAAACAAGGAAAATATTTACTTGCGACGAATTCATTAAAAAATAAATATAATTTATTATTTTAACATAGGTGTATAATTTAAATAGATATCAGTCACTTAAAGATGGCGAAAAATTTGTTGTTAAACAAGTTTTATGATGGATGAAAGATGTGTCAGCTCGAAAACCTTTGGCGCTTTTCTTGTCATACAGAGGGACCTTGCTGGCCCCTGCTACGTATCGGAGAAGCTAGACTTCTCACATTATATATTCTTTGCTATGGCTGCTATCCTGGAAGGGGGGAGAAAACAGTTATACCAATATTATTCAATCGATAAATGATTGAATTTAAAAAAGATTAGTTTCAAGACTTACGTCGATACACCATGTGATATAATAATAAATGCATAGTAAATAAGTCTGTGTTTAAACCATTTAAGTCCAACAAAATTTTTTTCTGTATTTAAAAAATTAACCAATACCAGGTTTCTGTTTTGAAAACTGGCTTTAATTCAATGGAACAAGAATCTGAAGTGTCTATGCCCAATTTAGCAAAACAAAAAAAAAAGCTTTATTACAAGTAAAAGTCTTAGCAAGAAGTAAAAATTTATACATACATACTGTATGTTATTTGTGGATAAAATATTGAAGTCTATTTTTACCGAGGAATGCTTTATATCTAAGAAAACTGTTGAATGCGATTAGTTTTTTACTGTAGTTCTTGCAAACAAATAAATATTAAAAAGTTTATAGACTTGGCTATCTTATAGATGTTCTTTAATATTAGATCTTATTTCTTGTCAATGTAAGAAAGATACTTCTGATTTATCTTCAATCATGGATACAAATGGTAGATAACTGCTAATAATGAAAATTTTCCCTACCACTTTCAAACATTCCTATTCAATGCATAATTTTAATTTAGGTTTTAAGAGTAAAATATTTCAAAAATAAGTTTTATTCAGCATGTATTTACTTCAGTTACCTGCCTTTGTATTTCAAACAATTGGATCACAGCCAGATTTTTGAGGAATGTGGGTACAATAGAACAGAGGGCCTTCCTTACAAGAAATTAAAATGTTTTGAGCCTTAACATATTTTAATGCTATGTACAGTAATTATTTTCTATAATCAGTTTCTGAATTTGATTCAAAAGCATTTTCATTCTGTGTGTAAACAAAATACTTACTCAAACTCTGACATTGTTGCGTTGTTAATCGAATAAGTGTTTTGAAATTAAATTCTTCTCAAGGAATTGACATTTTGCCTTAATATCTAATTAGTGCTGTAGATTTGGTCTACAACATGTTATGAGAAGAGGATGTTATTCTATTATTTCTTGCAATTTTTTTTCTTACAAAATTATACCAATACTATTCTGCAAGCGGTCAAACTGTTTCTAAATTGTTGAAAAATATAAATTTTTTCACTATTATTCAAATCAGTTGAAATTGGAAAAAAAGCTAATTTCAAGAAATCTAAAAGCGTATAATGGTACAAAGCTACACTAGGCATAGTTTAATTTTGTTAAAGTTTTATTTAAAAATCTTCAGTTCTAAAAGTTATTTCTTGCACTCTTATAAAACAAAGACTTTATTTTTCACCTTTCTTTAAAGGTATCGCTCTCAACAAAAATGTTTGAGGAAAAAAAAAACAGGGGAAATGAAGTTCAAAAATTTTATCTGAATCTTAGATCTGGAAAAAAATCGGGGGGCTCAAGAGAAAAATGTATCCAGTTATAGAATGTAACTAGAATACAGTGAAAAGATTTAACAGGTGCTGGGCCATAAGGAATTTATATGAATAAGTTTACATAGTCATTATTCAACTAATAAATGTAAACAAAAGTTATAAATTTTACCATCATGCAACTAATTCTTTTTAAATATGAAATCAATTAAATAATTTGTTCCAGAAACTTAGTTTGAATGACAGAATCTGTTATACCAAAGTGATGTTTTCCTCATGGTTATTACGAGGATCATACAAAAAGTGAAGACAGTTTTGGCTTAACTGTAATATTGAACCAATTTTTCTACTTCCATGTTATTCTTGTTTGCTGCAAAATCTATGAGCTAGGATGCCACTTCTTGTTTAAACATTTATGACTTGTGATCTGTTTTCCATACAAAAATGTTTTTAGTTAAATCACTAATCATACAAATTGATGCAACATCATTTAAATTGATGTTGCAACATCAATTAAAATGTGAAAAACTACATAGAAAAATGCCAATTAAACAAAGCTATTTATATTTAAAACTTCTAAATTAACTGTGACATCACTTCCAGCAAAAAAGGGGATCTGTTGAGGATCATTGCCTGTGGTGTTACTCAACATTAGTTTTTACATTGCTCAGGTAGTATTTATTTATTTATTTTTGTTGAGATTGTAATAAACTTAAAGATACAAGATTTGAATACATTTCAACATTGTAGTAATGAGTATTGTAATGAGCCTTGTTGTTCAAACTCTACTATGATAACTTCTATGAAAATATTTTTTGCAGTGCACAGAATTAAAAATTTTTGGAAAGATTGTGTGCAAAAAAAAAATTTGAGTTCATTAAGTAACTTGAGTATGTGAAAAAAAAGTGTCTAAAAATTAAAATGCCCCATGATTTCTAAACTTACCTTCCATAAACACTGAAATAAAAACTACTAAAAATTATTAATCCCCCTTTAATTGGGGCTAATATGAGACACAGTTTTAATTTTTGCCCACATTCTTATTCTTTAAGATAGACAACCTGCATAATGACTCCCCCCCCCCAAAAAAAAAGGCTGACTGCATTATTTCATTTAGATTCAAATTAAACTACTAGAAATACAGCAAAAGTACCTTTTAATGAATCTTGATAAACCCTATGTGTTTTTAAAATTTTAGTTGAGAAAAAAAAAACAAGCATATTAAAACTAGAATTTCAAATGATCAAAAGTTACTTAGCTACCTTACTATGATTTGGCAACTTTTCTCTCATCTAAGTGAGAGTAAGCTAACAATACATGAATGCACACAGATGAAAAAAGTAACAAAAGAAGTCAATAACTTGACATTTGGAATATTTTCATTCAACTAGTTAAGAATATTTTAATCCCATCTAAACTCTAATTATTAATCTTTTTTCAGAGTTTGCCAACATTCATTTTAATTCTTGACACAAAGTGAATATATTTTAACATCATAAAGATTTTTTAAAAAAATGCCTCTCCCTTAGAAAGCCTATTCAATTTAAATGTTTTAGTCTTTTATTTTAATCTATATTTATTATTAAAAAGGAAGTTTTTTATTTAACTATTTTATAGATTACTCATATTCTAGTCCTGTTGTTTAAATGTTATTACATATAGTATAAATGTTGGAAAACAATTTACTAGTAACTTTCATTTTTGGAGAGAAAAATGATTATAGGTTCATGTTAAATGTTATTAAATATTTTAGTAACTATGATTATTCAAATTTTGTTTATTTTTCGATAAATTAGTATCTTAACTTTTCAACCCAAAATGGTTGTTGTTTTATTTATAATTTTTTGCTTGCTTTTTATTTAAAAACTTACTTTTTGCATTTAAATCTTTCAATTTATACTTGCATAAAAACAATACTTTCTAAGAAAACACTGATCTGCTAATTTAGGCAGATAATTTTATAATTGGCATTGAACAGCCGGCCCAATTCTGAGTTTACAACTATGAATGTTTAACTCTGTAGCCTTGTAATTTTGAACCAAACTCAGAAGACAGGGGAATTTCTGGATCAAACATTGGAACAAATTAGCCTTCGTGGAAAACTGTGATGGAACTGACTCTCATTTGCGTTACATGGAGAGGAAAACAATGAAAACCACCCATGGTTAACCTGGCGACTAGGTGATTCTAACCCATTATCCGTCTACCATTGAGAGCATTTTACGTCAGTACTGCAGTTGGTGCGAGCCAGGAGCAAAATTCATATCCACTAGACACTTCTGGGATTTGAACCTTGCCACCTCATTAGGAAGCGAACGATCTATCCCCTGAGCCGCCACAACTGATTATTTGATTGACACTAACCAGATCTTTATTTCACTTTCACAATTTATGACAAGTTAACTTAAACACACTTTATTTATTTTTACACAAACTGCATTTTTTTTAAATATTTATTCTGCAATAAAATATCACATGAAGCCCCATCCTATTTTCAGATATGCAACTTTGTTTATGTAGTGCACAATTTTTAACTGTTTTTTACTCTTAAATTTTAGAAAATTAACTTCAAAAATCATAAAACTTCTAATTTGTCATGTTTGATTTAACAAAGATAAGCAAGTTTTAAATAGTTACGAAGCATAGCGCACATACACTATTGGAATAAATGAATGTGACTTGGATAAGTGAAAACAAAATTCATGAATTTTTTAAAAGCAGCTATCAGGACAGTTTGAAGAAGAGAGAAAAACCTGGAAGTAAAATCATTTCATTTCTGGCTTGTTTTCACAAGAAATAAATGTTTTTGCTTACCAATACTTATAAACAGTAATTTTCCATTAAAGGAAACTGTCTTGTGTACACAATATAACTTTTAAAAGCCTAGGTTCTATGTCTCTGAATGCATTTCAAATTATTTTAATACCTGCTTTTCCCTTTTTTCGGACACAAACAGCCCTGAATTACTAATAAAGGAAACAAAGGAAATAAAAATATGACCACCGAAGTCGACGTCTTCATGGGGTACCGGCCCCGGTAGCCATAAAACAAAACCATTTCTAATTGAGGGAGAAGCAAATGCCTAAATTAACTCCCTCAGTACCCCGATGGTTTTGTATAGAAGTCCAGGAAAAAACATGACATCTTTTCTAAATTGGTTATTTGTATTTCATGTTTTTTCCTGGACTTCCTTTATTGCTAACATGAAATCTTTTCCAAATTGGTTATTTGTATTTCATGTTTTTTCCTGGACTTCTATACAAAACCATCGGGGTACTGAGGGAGTTAATTTAGGCATTTGCTTCTCNTTTTAATGGCTACCGAGGTCGGTACCCCCTGAAGACGTCGGCTTCGGTGGTCATATTTTTATTTCCTTTATTGCTACTTTTTTTGAAATTTCTGCTGCTTTTTAGCACATTTATTTCAAAGAAGTTTTATCTATTTAGAATTTAAAATATTTGTGTTTTCTTTTAGTACTGAACTACTAAATATCTTTTAGTTTTCAAAAATTTATACAGTTGATGTACATAATTTGTACAAAAATATATATACACAAATATTATAAACCAAACTTGCATACTTTTATTTCATCAACAGAGTTCAATGACAGTGTAATGACACAAACATTCTTTAATTCTCATTTATACACTATGTACATAAAAATAATTAAGTTATTAAATAACATTTAATAATTTAATTATTAATATCGTATCAACCTATGATATGAGCAACAATTTCTGACATTCAAATTAAATACTTTAAACTGTAGGAGAAATTTGATCAATTGACTCATGAAAATTTTTGACAACATTAAAAAATTAAACATCTTATAATTTGTAAAGTACATACATTAAAATTTAAATGATGTTTGTAAATAAAGTAGTGGCAGCAGAGCCCAGAAAGTTGAGGACATTTGCAATCAGGATATTGTAGCAGTGAGGTGGCGACAGTATGTTTTGTTGGTGTCATTTTAAGATATTTCTCAACCACATTGTTACAGATTTCTTCTTTGTCTGACCAAAAACCAGGGTTGATGGAAGAGGTGGGTAAAGCGGGCAATTGCTCCATTACGGAGGCACCGAACAAGACCATAATTTAATGCTTACTAAATTATTGATTTCCTCCTTTTTTTAAAAATTGCTTGTTTGAAAAATATATTCATAGATCTTTTTTAATTATATATTCTTAGTTTATATTGATATGCATTAAATTATATTTATATGAATATGATAGTATGAATTAAGAACTTTATAGTCAAAAGTTCTCTATGTAAAAGTTTTATTTAAGCTTTTTGCTAATATTCCCAAAGAGTTAATGCAAGACAAAAGCAGGAGGGGCCACCTTAGAGAATGACCATGTGGTTTTAGTTTTCTTTTCATTTATTAGATTCATTCTTTTCAATTTAGTGTGTTATGTCATGTTAGCTTTTTGAAAATAGGTCAGATTTTTTTTATAAAACATCACTTTTTAATTTCGGTAAGCAGTTCAGAATGTTTTTTGTGTCTTACTTTAATTTACTTTTTAATCAAAGATAAAAAAAATAACATATGAATGATTTTTTTGATGCTGTGTCACAATGTGTCATTCATTCGAATTCGACTTTAAAGGAAATATTTGACAGATTTTATTAAAATTTTGTTTTTTGCTATATAAAATTACATTCTTTAAAATGATATAAAAATTCATATACATCACAATTCAAAAATATTTTTTATATTATTAAATAAAATAATAAAAAATTATAAATAAGTGTTGAAAATTTTTTTTGTAAGGAATTATCTTTAGATTAAAAAATTTTGTAATTGTGTGTAAAAATTTTTTAAAATTCACTTCAAAAGTTCTGTAACTACGTAGAAATACACAAAAAGTAAAATTAACATTAAGTGGTCCAAACTTTCAACCGCTCGCCTGAACAAACAATCAAAACCATATTTCCCAGATTACGGCTACTTCTTCTTTTTTAATATATTTATATTAATCCATCGAAAAAAGGTATGTTTATTCAGAGACAGTAAGTTTTTGTGTCTAATTTTGTAATTTAAAATATCGTCTGCCCTAAGCAATTAGCACATTTGGGGTTACTCTCTCGAACCATTAAGATTAAGTCCTAATACATTAAAATCCGATTGTTAAATTGGAAGTTATTCCGAGTGCTTCGATTTTAATTCCAGAATGTGAAATTGATATAAACCTTAATATTTCACAAAGAAAATACTTCTATTTTATATCAAAAAGCAATATCAATTTAAGTTTTTTTTTGAGGGGGCTATTTAGAAACAATATAGAAAGGTTAATTTCTAATATAATTAGTAAAAATTAGGTAATTACCAAGATCTTAGTAAATTTTATGCTAGCAACAAAAAATATAGATTCCTTCTTTAAATATTTTCCTCTTTGATATATATTTAAAATAGTTATTAAAAGGGGAATATTTTTGTGGAATTAAAGTACAACTTCTTTTTCTCTTTAAATATTTGCTAATAGCGCATTTGATAATGTCTTAATTCATCTGATTTATCTAGACCTTTATTGTTGTAATATATATTTTATGTATACTTTTATAAACCTATATTAGTACGGGTAGAGAACATCTAATCTTCCCTGAAAATTACTTGATAGCAATAATGATTTAATATTTTTCTATTATTCAATAGATCATTATTTCTTCTATAATTACATTTTATACAAGGCAATTTTTAGTTTATTTTAAATGATTTTAAAGATAGTATATAAAGATAGTATTTCATAAACATTTTATTATAAGTGAAAGGTGTCTACAGCACGCACAAAGCTGTCATTGCCTTTCAGCACAAAAGCATGTTCATTCTCTTAGAGCATTCAGTTGTGTTGTTGTATGCAGATGTGAGTGAAGTTTAAATTGAAAAGAATGAATTTTTTTAATAGTGCAGCCATTCTCAATCTGAGGGGCACAGAAGAATTTCAAGAGAGGCATGAGTACTTTTGGTCATATGTAAATATTTTCAAGATTATCACACTTTTTTTTATATATTATCATACTATACCTAAGCCTATTTAGTTATCGACATTCCAAATTAATAAGCAATGAAATCTACCAAATCACATTAAAGGGAGCGTGTAAGTGTAACTGCATATTTTTTGTAAAACTGCCCTTCGGAGATTTTATGCTTATATATATGTTTGAAAGAGCTTATTACTGTCTCATACTTATGTAGTTTTTTTAATTCAAAATCTGTGCACACAAAAATAACTGAAAAACAATGACGACTATGTGACAGGCAGAACCTGATGCTTCCATCAACTGGAGAGCACATCTACCCATATTCTACAGTTAATGCTTGCTTTATCTTCCCACAGAAGAAGATAAGTGAAGACTTCTCTTGTTTCACCTCTCACTGATTTATTACTTGTTTTATTAGGACGTTAAATTTGGCCAGGTGGGGAGGAAAATAAAACCCATCTGGTTTCTGGGTGCAAGCTGGCCATCCTACCAATACTATAAAATACATAGACCCATATTGACGTTGAGGTGGCAAATCAACTCTGATGGTAATAGAAAAAGATGATTATTGCATTAATATGCTAAATACTCATAACAATGTGGATAAGTGTAAAAGACAGACCTTTAACTGCATGGCAGTTTTAATGACACCAATGAAACAGTGAATAATAATGAATGCTAAACTCCAATCAGGAATACCAGCCAGTCTTTCTGGTAAACATTTAGAAATACTCGATGTGAATTGTACTCTACATGTTGAAAGACTATGTTTTTACATCTCTAAAGCCAATTTGTGCAAAATTGTCTTCAGCTCTAACTATAGGCACTGTAGCATTGTTCAAATGTCTAAATGCTTTGCATAACCCTCCACAACCAACTGGCGATTGATATTTGTTTTACATGTTCATTTTGATTTTCGTGGAGTACTAGAGTATCTTCTTTGAAATAAATTTCTTGAGAATTAAAAAAGATGAAGGAAGAATGTTAAACACAATACAGATTAGGCATGGCAACTTGAGTTCATTTCTTGTGTAGACTCTTATTAAAGCCTTCTTCAAATTCATGGATCATCATAAATATTTTTAGATGATTATTAAACTGCTAGTTTTCTATGAAGTACACAATATCTTATGAATGATAATTTGATAATAGTTACTAGATTTGATTAATTTAACTGAATGCACAACACACAAAATTTTGTCTTCAACCATAATGAATCTTAAATATTAATTTCATTTTGAGTTTTCAGTGTTTATAAGTAGTTAATACATCACTTGTTTCAAATACACATAACATTGTTCATCACCTGTACCTGCAAAATATGTAAACTAAATTCAACACAATTATTTAAAAATGAGCAATAAAACTGCACTGTTTATAAAGAATAGTACCTTCAATACATTCAATGACAAACAGTGAATCTTGAATCATATTACTAACAACCTATGAAGAGAAATAAATATAAGATATTTTTGTTATAAAACTTCATCTCTAAAAGAGATTTTTAGTTAAAGAAATATAACATTGGCAAAGAAGTTTCCTCTGTACTGAAAATATGCATGAGAACATGTAAATTAGGCCAAATTAAAAACCTAATTCCTTATAAATGTTAAGGGGATGTTTCATAATTTGAAAAACATATTTGATTTGAATGGTCAAACGCTAATTTTATTTAGAAAAAATCAAAAATTTGCATCTCTTTCAAATAAGAAGAGTTACAACTGTATAATACAATATAATTATTAGATACCCTATTAATTAATAAACTTTATTTAACAAGCACTCTAAATTAGAGATGTACCAGGTCAGGGTACCTGGTGAAAATAGAATATTTTACCCTCCAGTTCTGGATACCCCATAAAATTTAGATTTATTACTTGGCTAGTTCAGGGTATCTGGTAAAATTTACATGTATTACTTGGCTGGTTCTGGGTACCTAGCGGAGTATTATAGGATTATGCAAAGCAATATAAAAATCATTACTTTTGATCAAATATATATTTTACAGGATATAGTTTTCAAGAGATTTCCTGCGCTTACATAAATAAAAACACATGTTTAGATTTATTTTTAAACTAAATTTTGAGAAAAAAATTTATAAGAAATTTGTATGTAGAATAATTTGTGTAAAACTTTGCTATGAAGTGGAGACATCTGCTAATCCCTGATTAATTAGGTTTTCATTTAATTTAGTACTTAAATTTTAAATAGCATTTAAATGTAGGATATTTTAAAAAATATCTAAATGAAATGACAGTTTATTGAATGAAAGTTTTAACTCCCAGAGCTTAATTTTTAATCATCTTATAACTATAAATGTAATTTATGTGCAATGAAATCACCTATAGTACTATCTCTTTATCTTTTCAATACTCTGTGAGAAATTTTATGTTATTTCCAATATTAAACAGAAGAATAACATAGAAGATATTTGCTGTCTTTAAAATTATGATTCAATCGCCTTATCCAAGAAATTTTGAAACCCCAAAAGAAAAAGTAACTTCTCGATTAAGCAACAAAAAAAGGCTAAGTTTGCTTTCATAAAGAACTTTTCTATGAAACCAATGCATATTTGAGTACATGTGGGGAAAAAACATCAAAAAAACTTTCATGGTTAATCCGATGTTAAGGTCTTTTACCATAGTGGTTGGGAATTGAATTCATTGAGCCATAATGAGTAAGAAACTTGCTTTCCAGTAAAAATTTAGTTTAAAGTTATTGATGGCCAATTTCATTCATACATTCTTCTTTATAATATTAAATGTAAATCAACTTATACTGGAAATGTAATAAAATATTTCTAAGTGAGTTTTTGATTTAGTTAAAAAAAATTGTCAATATTTGTTAAACTAATTGTGTCAGTTATAGCTTGAGCTATTATGTACCAGGAAATTAATCTTAAATTAATATTAGCATTCAAATATAGAATGCATTATTTGTAAGAAAATATTCATTATCTGTTTAAAACTGTTGTCCAAATTATCTATGCATGTAATAAAATAATTTGTTTGTGTATGTGTCTGTATAACCAGATTGTGAGGATACTGTAGGCACTAAAAATACAACACTCAATATGAAACTAAATGAGCACAATTGTAAACAAATGAGAAAGCCCTATTTTCAATTTAATTTTTAATTCAGAAACATTTAAAAAGGGGAATTTTCTCATTGGTTTAGCGGAAGTCATTGTTTTAAATTTAACTGCAAACAATTCAGTTTTGCCAAATATTTTAAAGATAACATTTGTGATGTTTGCTAGCCTATAGCTTTACTCAAAAAGGTTGTTTATTGCGATTGGTAATACTTATTTATTTTTCATTCATGTTACCAAATTATCTGAATGATTAACATGATTGAGGTAGCATAGGCGGAATACCACTATCCATGATCAAATTAATATTTCTAAATTATCTTTAAATCACATGTTTATAGCTCATTTTCAAACATTCATGCTGAAGCGACAATTTTCTTTCCACTATCAGTTGGAACTGGTAGATTGATTGCTGTCATCAGTATTGCATTAATTGTAATAGAAGCTAACTATCATGATTTGAAATCAAAGTTTTTTTTGTAAATAAATAAGAACTCATAGATTACTTTCCTTAGAAGAAATTAGATTTGTAAACTTGAATTTTTATCCTATGCTGTTATTTTTGTACAGAACTTATTGCAAGGTATGTTTATATGATTTTAGATATTTTTAAAATTACTCACTTAAAAATGGTTTAAAAACTAAACTCAGTGGCGCGACAGCCCATAGAGGGTCAAGGCCTACTGTGCCCATCTCAGTTTTCTTGATCTAGGGCTCTGGGGTGCAGGAGCAGATGTTCCGGTTAGGTGGTCAGCCAAACGCGTAACCCCCAGTGTTTAGTTCCCAAGCGTGCTTGGTACTCATTTATCGACCCACTGAAGGGATGAATTGCTGTGTCAACCTTGCCCGGCCTGAGGATCGAACCAGGGACCTGTGGCACGACAGCGCGAAGCGCTACCGCTCAGCCACCGGGCATCTAAAAATTGTTTACATAACGCTAAATCTGTTACCAAAAGAGTCTGTTACCTTAATGTTACGACAATTTAAAAGCATGATTAAGGTGCTTGAAGTCTCAATTTTGAACCGCATGTTCTTTATAAAATAATTGGGAAAAAAGTTTAATTTTCATACTTTGTTAGTATCAGAGTATTTACCCTAATTGACTAAAGTCCAACAACACATTTTAATAAAGATGGAAGTGCAAAATTAGGTCCATGCCTTTTTTATGAGATAATAAAAAATTATTCTATGAAATGTTAAGCTCACAAATCCAAATAATAATGCATATTGCTCATATGCTGAAAGCAAATTTAGTCTAAAAGAAGAGGAATAAACATCTATGGCATTTTTCAACAGCTTTTTTTCATTTTATTCATGATGATTTTATTAACTATAAAAAATATCAATATTCTACCTGTTTTTAATTTTGCATTTATTTAACGATCATATTAATTCAGTTAAAATAGTTTTCATCATTAAAGTTTTTGAATTTTTATGTCCATTAAGAAGAAATTTCTCTTTAGCAAACATATTTCTCTGTCTTGATAATGTCCACTTTACCCAGATTTCCCTGAATAAAAATTCTGAACAAGAGTAAAATATGTTGCACAATAACAGTTATTTCAGTTTGATTATTAAAATGGTCATGGAATACACAGATTTCCAAAAGTAGATTTTTTTTTTAATAGTCGTAAGGTAGTAGTCTTAATAATCTGAAAATGGCTGTGTTGAACATAGATGAGTTTTACCTGGTACTAGATACCTGATAAAATAAGACGGGTCTCGATTTTGAGATTAAAAACAGTTTCCAGGTAACCAGTAATGGGTAATGAAATTCTTTTGCTCGGTCCGGGTAATAACTGGGCAATGAAAAGCTGGCCAGATAATGGGTAATTGCCGGGTACCCAGTATATCTCTACTCTTAATAAAAAATTTTATATTTTTCGATAAGATAAGAATATGCTTAGAGCTTATTAAGGTGGCTGTAGATGAAGGTCTGTATAATTCAAATAACAGTTTCTTAACATTTGCTACTTTATAGAGAAAATAATGAACTAGCTGAAATGTACAAAAACTAAATTTACAGCTTAAGTTCAATGGATAAAAAATAACATTGTGAGATTTATGTCCGGTATTGACTTAATCCAAGATATATTCACCAAGGATCAATTTTATATTGAAGACAGTCAAAGATTTCAGGAATTTCTCTGTTAACTAAAAGTCTCAATACATGATTTTTCTGTCCAATAAGTATGTGCCAACAACAATTGGAAACAATTTTAGACCTTTATCTTTTATGTTATATAGAGATGTAACAAAAACAGAAAAATATAAGCTTAAAATTTCCATAATGCTTATAGTTCCACATTAAATTCTGTATTCTTATTAAGAAAATAATGGCGCGGTGGATGAGTGGCAGCGCTTCACGCTTCCGTGCCACAGGTCCTGGGTTCAGTCCTCGGGTCGGGCAAGGTTGACTCAGCCTTTCATCCCTTCAGTGGATCGATAAATGAGTACCAAGCATGCTTAGGAACTAAACGCTGGGGGTTCCGCTTTCAGCTGACCGGAACATCTGCTCCTGCACCCCAGAGCCCAAGTTCAAGAAAACTGAGATGGGCACAGTAGGCCTTGGCTCTCTGTGGGCTGTCGCGCCACTCAGATAAGTTTTTAATGAAACAAGTCGATAGATTGGAAGACTTGTGATTTGGCTATCAATGTCAGTCATTTTAAATAATTCACATTTAAAGTTCCTCAGAATTTTTTTTGACTAACTGTTAGAAATTCAGATTTTTTTATCTAATAATTTCCCTTTTTAAGCAAAGAAAGCAGGTAAAAGGTGTGAAAGAGTTAAAATGAAAAGTTTTTTTACCTCATCAGTAACTATGACACGTGTATCTCCTGGTCCACTTGCATAAAACTCACAACTGCAATCTGATGGAAGACCACAAAATATTTTTATTTTTGTAAATAATTCATGGACCTTGGATGACTTTAAATAAATGGCACTATAAGCTGAAATATAATTGTAAAACGTTAATTATTTTACATAATAGAATAGACAGACAACTTTTCATCTTTCTATAACAGCTACTATTAATTTTTTATTATTTTCATAATCACTACTGTATTAATTTTTCTATTCCATGATTTTTTCTTTAATCTACCTAAGATAGCACTTTTCTATAAAACTGAGGATCACAAGTTAATTTCAGATGAATTATCTTTGCAAATATGCTTCATAGTTTTAATTTTAATATTTTATAAATTTATTAATACAAATAAGTCTTTGCTGTGTGGCTCTGGGAGGTAGTAGACAAAAGGTGATGTAGTGAGAACAGCAAAAGTACAGAAAAAGAACTTTTCTTTTTTTAAAAAAAATAGGATATGTTTGTTCTTTTATTGTTATATGTAGGTTTTTTAAGGCATATTAGTTTCCTTGAATTAATCCTAGCTTCTTAATTTTTTATTATAATTTTTACCTTTATTTTTTTTAAATGAAAATCAGCAATATTTGAGTAAAACTTTCAAATTACCTTTTTAACAAAAGTAGAAATATTAAATAAAGCAATTTTATTCATTAAAAAAATATAGAGCGTATTAGTTTTTTTTATTATTGCATATTAGTTTTTCAGAATTAATCATACTGTTTGTCTACGATAGGTACTCTGACCGACACAAAGTCTGCGACAGTCTGGTGCTATGGAAACAAGAAGAGGGCATTTTAGGGAGGGTAGCTTCGATGATAGCTTGTATGGGAAGTATACCAGATTGGCTGACTCAGTCACCAGTAGGAGACTTATTTATTCTGATTCAATAACTTTTTTAAGACTCGCATGGATATTTCTTTCTTACTTGAAATGATTCTCTCTACTCAATCGGTTGTTATTTTTTAAATACAGAAGAAAAAAAGTGAACAAATTCTGACATTAAGGGTAGTACATGTTTTTTTAATTTTACGATATTTATTATGAATGTTCATTGATTGTTAGATGGTTTAATTTCTAAACTTGCACATTTTTTAAAGCAGTTAATTTATTTTATTATTTGAGTTTTCTGGAAAAAGTGAAGTGCTTAAACTTATTAACTCTGATTTTAAAAGGAGATAAAACTTTTGTTGAAAATGGAAATAAGTAACGTTATCTGTGCCGAAAAAATATTAAATATCTTTGTTTTTATTATTTGTTTTTTAATTTTTTTTTAAACTGAAAGCAAGTTACCGCAAATAGAATGAAATCTAAAACTATCAACGATGATTTTTATCAGCACCCATCAAACCATCTGAAATTTTTTTTTTGTTGCTTAAATTACGTTTTCTTACTAGTATTTTAATGTAACCTGTATAGTTTTTCTCACTATTTATTAAAAAAAAAAATAATTCTAACAGATTTTTATTAGCAAATTTATTTTTTTTCTTTATAACCAATTTACTATGCAAGATAAATTTATAGATGAGTTATTTATTAATAAAACATTGAGCTTGCTTAAAGCAATTTTATACAATTTCCCTACATATCCTATTTATCAATCATTACATAGAAGTAACAATTTTAATTTGTCATTGAGTAAAAATTTTAATAGCTGTTACACCCAAAATTTAATATCATAATTTTTACATTTTTTGTTGTTTTTTGAAAAGTATATATTATACAAAACAATAGCCCAAAATGATTTCTTTTTATTTAATTTATTTTACAAGATGTTAACAATTAAATTTTAAAGCTCTTTTTAATTAAAAAATAAAAAATCTAAGAATAGAATAAATGGATTTTAAAAAATTGTATCTCATTTTACGCGGAAGTTCTTGAAGTTTTTGATAAAATAGTTATAAATAAAATATATTCTTCTAGTTCCAAGTTTGAACTCAAAAAATTATGTAAATAAATTATAAATAACTAATTATTCATAATATTATTCACCTAATATTATAAATTTATTATTTGCTATAATGTTTGTTATTTTGTGAAACATTAGTTGATGTTTTTAAATTCCCTCCAAATCTACCGATACAGCGCGATTGAGCGATCAGCGGAGTGGCAGAGTGAGCTGCAGTGCAGCGTTTCGCGAAAAAAGATAAAACTTTTTATGGAATTGTGATCCATATTTTTTTAGAAGCCATTTTGTTCAGAATAAAATTTACTTTAAAATTGGTTTTGTTTGAACTTTGTACGACATTAACGACATTTTTGTTTTTCATTTTACAACATAATTTTGCAATAAAAATTAAATTTTTTAAGCATTTGTTATATTATAATTATTTCTTCAAAAACTTCCAACGCGCAAAATGAGATAATTTTTTTTTAAATCCATTCATTCTATCCTTAGATATTTATTTTTTAATTAAAAAGAGCTTTGAAATTTAATTGTTAATATCTTGTAAAATAAATTAAATAAAAAAAAATCGTTTTGGGCTATTGTTTTGTATAATATATACTTTTTAAAAAACAACAAAAAATGTAAAAATTATGATTTCAAATTTTGGATGCTTACCGCTATTAAAATTTTGACTCTTTTAAAAAAGAAAAAATCGAACGATCTAAACGATGTTTCAGGTGCGAATACTTATTTCTCTTCACTCTAGAGCTAACACAATAGACCGAAGAAAGAGGTCTCATTTTCTCGCGCCAAAACCAGTCTTAAGGAGGGACTCGCACCCCTACTTGAAATAATCATANAACGATCTAAACGATGTTACAGGTGCGAATACTTTTCTCTCTTTGCTCTAGAGCTAACACAATGGACCGAAGAAAGAGGTCTCATGGTCTAATTTTCTCTCGCTAAAACCAGTCTTAAAGAGGGACCCGCACCCCTACTTGAAATAATCATACCTCGTTACCATAGTCACCGCCACCCCTCCAGACGAATGTCTGTCAGAGTACCTATCGTAGACAAACAGTAGCTTCACAATTTTTTTAATAGTATATTCTTTTATTTTTTAATGAAAAACAGTAATATTTGAGAAAAACTTTCAAATTACACTTTTAACAGAGGAAAAAAAAATACTAAATAAAGCAGTTTTATTTTTACTTTGAGTCATTTTCAAACTGTTGATGTTTCCAGAATTCAAATTTAAAAACACGCGTTTATTTATATATAATAATGTTACAGTTATAAGTGTTATTATTGTTTTTAAAGGATAAGAGTAATTTTTTGCACAAGTAAAATTAATGATTAACGGGAAAATAATGAAAATTTAAAACAAACAGCTCTATTTAAAATAATGTGACTTTGATTTTTTTTAAATGATTGTAAAAGATATGATGGCTACATCACTGGGATGAGAGCACCTAAAATAAATAGTTGTTGCAAATATGTTTTGCAAATTTGCACAATGAATCCTATATTTTTTTTATATTATTTTTATGCATGCAAAATGGGGAGGCTGAGCTTGTTTTTTGACTGCCAGTGCAATAAAAATTTAACTTCATAAAAATAAGATTAGCAGCTTAACTTAACAAGTAACAACTTAAAAATTAATTTTAGCTATAACTGGTAAGAACAGAATTAAAAGTCTAAATGCTATCATTGGTTGAACTAGTTGGTTGCATGCAAATATCTTTCTCATTTCTGATTATATTAGCAGTGTGAGTTTCACAATTTTGTAAGAAATGTTTCAATTTGTGCAATTAGTACTTGAGATAAAATATTCAATTGGGAACTAATATTTTTGGTTTTAGTTACTTTCTAAAATCTTCATCATTAGCACAAAATAACTCTCATATTTATCACCTGCTTCCTAAACCAGTAAATTACAACTTAGAAAAATATCATATTTGAGACAAAAACTACTTAGGATGCAAGTAATTCCTTATTTTTGTGTTAAGTTTTAAAACTTTAAATATTATTTTATTAAGTCATTATTTAATTATTTGATTTGAGGCATGTGCTTGAGTAGATGGAAATTAGTAATTGCTTACATAAGTGTCTATGGAATAATTATGAACCCTTGCATTCACAAGTGTCCTATGAAATTATTTATCTGAATTAATGAAAAGTGTTTAACTAGAAATAGTAAAATTTCTACAAAATAAATAAAGTTAAATATTTTCAGAATTAAATTTATTATTTCTGCATAGACATGAAAAAAAATATAAAAATCAAATTTTATACAAAACCTTTTTGTGATGGTAATCGTACATACGTAGTCAAATATCCTCTAAAATTAAAAAAAGGAATTAATTTCAGAGTTTGAAATTGCTTCGAAAAACAATTTAAAAAATTACGCACTTTCTATGAAGAGCATTGAAGAGACGTATACCATTTGCAGTTCCACAAATATCAATCAAGTCACTACGCGTTAAAGACAAAAGATCTTTGCCTAGAAATATAAAATCTTATAAGAACAAACTGAATTTTAATGGCTAAAAGTTTCTTAAATTTGAAAAGCATAAAAAATATTTAAAACAGAATTTCAAAAATTATTTTCAGTTATAGAATTGTTTCATAAAGTCTTTATATTACCTGTATGCAATTTTTTTCAGTTTAAATTCAACCCATAAACAATTTTAAACTTTCTATACAATAATATTCTATTAAAACTAATTTAACATATATTTCTACAGATACTTAATATAAAATATGTACTTTAAAAGTAAACTTATATAGTATTTTAATGTAATACATAAAATAAATAAGTAGAATGCGAGAAAAAAAATTTTAACAATCAAATAAATAGTTTTTATTAGTTACGAAAGGTATTTCATTAGCTTCATTTCTCAAAAGAAAATTTTCATGTAGCAAAAATAAATAGCATTGTACTTTAATTACATTTTGATTTTAATTAAGTAGGAAGAGAATAAAGAACATACAAAAAAAGAAGTCTTAAGAATAAACATATTAAAGCAATTACAAAAATATCACCAACTTTGGGGAAAGTATAGTTACAAACATAACAGGGAAAAATATGGATTTAACAATATTAGAATAAACAAACATCTTGTTACCCCATTAAAAAACAACCAAGATCATTAGATTTGTAACTTCTATGCTAGTTAAGCTGACAGTTAAAATCCATATAAATTGATGTGACTCCATAATAAGCAAAGGAAAGACTACTAAATGAACAAATAAATGGAAAAAACTAAGACCATTTAACGTAGCTGTATTATTTTCAAGGAAACTACATTTTATTTCTTTCCTCTCTTTTATTTTTTGATGGTTTCTCACACTTTATTATTATCATATCTTGCATAGAACATTTTATGTTTGTTTTACCTTTTGTGAGATTTTTACTTTCAGTTTGAGACAATATCGTGGCATCCAACTATTGTATACTCAGTCTAACCCTAAGGTCTTCATAATTTGAAATGTAAGAAATTTTGAAAAATTATTTTTCAAAGATTCTGTAATTTTATTGGAAATTTTACTTCTTTTTATCATGTATTTCAATCTTGGGAAAAGGAATTTCTTTACCTTTTTAATTTTGCTCCAGCAAATTTATTTCCTGAATTGAATATCTTTATTTTCTGAATTTCTTTAGCTGTTAAAAAAATACTTTGAACAAGTTATACAAATTGAACTTTTAAGGTAGGTCCTCTAAGTTTTCATGTAATTAAGTTTTCAGTATGTGTTAATGTCATTAAGTTTTCATTAGATTGAGCACACACACATTTGAAAACATCATGAGGGGTTGCCAGAGCCTCCAAAGAGGTTGGACTTCTGTCTGTTGGTCCGCGGGAGGTATTTTATTTCCCTCCTACCACCCAAAGGTATTAGCCGATGGAGGCATTCCCCGATCCGCCACCTGGGGACGCGCTCTCTAGGGGTTACAGGCTCTCTCGAGAAAAATGGTCAAGAGACCTTAAACTAGTCATTAATCCTAACAAGACTAAACTCAGCATGTTCAGCACTGACAGAAAGCACTGGCACACATTTTGTCCTAATATAACAAAGTGTTAAACACACCCATAGAAAAGATTTCTAACCCAATGTACCTCGGGATAATACTTGACGAAGAGCTTCGTTTTCTCCACCACATTCAAGAGTGTTCTAATAGAGCACTAAAAAAGCTCAACATCCTTAGGAGGCTTTGTGGCACAAAATGGGATGCTGCACCAAAAACTACTTACACAACTCTTATAAGACCATTAATGGAATATGCCACACCTGTATGGTCACACTCCTCCTCTACTTCAAGAGAAAGATTCGATAAAGTACAAGCGAAAGCTGCAAAAATAATGTCTGGTGCTGCCTCATCAACAAACAACTCAAGAATTCAAGAGGATGCGGTTTGGTCCCTCTGGAAGAAAGGAGACAAATGTTAACTGTTAAATTTACAAATAACGCCCATAGTCTTGACGAGGGGCACATTTCACATCGTACTATTATAAACTGGAATAAAAAATCTAGACTCAATAGGTCATCTCCCCTTCAGTTTGACAGGGCCATCAGAGAAAAAATTCACCTTAAACCTGAGGACTTTCTTTTTAGAAACGAAACTCCTGCTATTGGAGTTGTTCCAGATAATACGACAATCTGTCTAGAACTCATCGAGCCCTGTTCGAAAAAAGATCATGCGAATAAACTCAAGGAAATTGGGATGAAAACTATCGACTCTCTATCTGGCCTCAATCATATCAAGGCTTTTACTGATGGATCTTCTGACTCCACTTTCACCAACGGAGGTGCGGGAGTGGTACTGCTCCTACCAGATGATCAAAAACAAGAGATCGCAACTGGTGCTGGAAAAAACGCATCTATCTTTACGGCAGAATTGATAGCCATTTCTACAAGAATCGAAACGTACATCAATCTTGAACCTTCGGAGCAGCTTAGTGGTATCACCATCATCAGCGACTGCAGGTCTGCCTTACAGGCCCTCAGCAAAGGTACCTCAAGCCTAATCCTGAATATCATAGAACAACTTGGACAACTTCAGCGTCTCCGGAAAAAATGCTTCTTGCAGTGGATTCCCGCCCATGTGCCCTAGAGTTCAATGAAATAGCTGATTCCTTGGCTAAAAATGCCAGAATCAAAATACAATCCCAACCACGTTGGCAGATGCAAATGCTTTTGCAAACTATTCACCCCTTTAAAATTCAAAGCTCACGATCAAATAACTAATCTTGACATCGATAGGAAGACAGCCACTACTCTGATCAGACTAAGAGCAAAACATCATAAAAACATGAAAATTTCTACAGATGGGACTAGAAAATATCAAAACTGTGGCAACTGTCTTAATGTGGAACTGACACCATATCATGTTTTTAACTGCCTTGCAATCACTGCAGGCCTTCACCTCTTAAACAACCCCACAGAAGAGGATTTGTATTCATTTAATGCTACAGAAATAACAAAAACTATTCAAACACACCATGAAATATGACTCAATAGAGGATACAACACCAACCAACCAACCATTAGATTGAGCACAGAAAAATCTCATCCACTTGATAAACATGCAATTTTTTCTCTCCATGTAGTAAACCCTAGTGTCAATGAAAAAGTCCTCAAAAAGGCAAATTTATCCAAACATTTAAATTTCATTAAAAATTGCAAATATATGGACATAAACGTCTTACATCTATTTATAAGCTGTTTGTAAAATAATAAATATTTAAATCATATTGTTGTTTGATTCTTGTTATCTGGTGCTTTTAATTTTGATCTTCAAATTTACATGAAAAACTAAGCTATTATACAAAGTGTTTTTTTTTAAATAATGCTGCCATTATTGATTTGATATATTGGAACTGAAAATTTGACAACAGATTAAAAATCCACAGATTTCTTTTGTTGTTGGCTATTTTAGATTATATTAGAGTATTTGGAAACTCTTTCACCCTATGTTGATATACCAATAAGTGAGCAACTTCATTTCTGATTTTATGGTTTGTCTGAAGCTATAAATATGGAACAAATTTAAACTATGAATGAGAAGAATTTGGGCCGGAAAATCAAGAGGTATTGATTTTAGTAGAGTTTTAGGCAAGAAATCTGAATCAGTAACTTAACTGAAAGGTTTCTTTCAATGACCAGCTTTAAGTCATTAAGACTGATAAATGGTAAAACAGATTTTTCAGCCTCCTATTCATATAGACTTCAAGCCTTATATGGTTAAATAAAAATAAGTTCAATGAATCTTATTGCATAAAAATGAAGTTTTTTTTTACCAGAAATAAATTTTTAAAAAATAACTTCAAATTTTACATTTGTTTGACAAACTTCGTTTTAAAGTTGGCAAAATGCAAAAATCTGATGAGTCAATCTTGAACCAGCAAACTATATTTTTATACTATATTAAAACTTTCATTATTCAAGGAATTAAGTGATTTGGAACTATGAAGTCATTTCTATGGATAATTTACGAAATAGTAAAAAGAAAGTTCGCCTTTTTTTGTGTTTCAATATATATATTTTTTAATCTTGTTATTGATATTTAATTGCTGCAAAATGGAATAGAAAACTGCAAGGATTAGAAGTTTCTGCAGAAAAAATATTACAAGATCTGACTGTTTTGGGCGAACAAATCAGTTGTGGTAGAGAACCTTTCGTAAACACCAGGAGAGTATTTAGTGGGAATAAATTTATTTAGTAAAAATTTTAAAGACAGAATTTGGAAAAATAAAATTTATCATAAGGAATCTAGAGCAGATAAAATCTATTGAGAAAAAATCCCACAGACAGGATCTTTCATGAAAGAAATATCACTAGAATTAGTTTAGTTTACAGCATTTTGTGTAGTTTCCTAGAGTGAAATTTTGTTCCTTAACAAAATTTTGAATATTCAAAAATTACTGTGTACATGCATTAAGCAAATTCAACTCTCATTAAACACTAGTCTGATTTCTTTCTTTCTTATAGGAAGTTAAATTCACATCATTAGAGTTTATATTTTTATCTCACTACTTGAAATTTGTATGAGTTTTAATGAGAAGATATCAAACTTAAGTTGTTAGGTGGAAAAATAAATTTTACAGAATGATATAAGAAAAATATTTATTTTTGTGTAAGAATTGTAGAAGACTGCTTAATTATATAATAATCATGTAAATATCAAAAAGGTTTCTTGGATTTATGGGAGAGTGTAGCTGTTTTCTTATCAAGATTGAATAGGCAAGTTATTTTTAAAATAACAATGATGGTCAGAACTGTGCTTTTCATCATAATTTTATGTTAAAATAGATTTTAAATAACTTCTTATTCATCTAATTTTTTTTTTATATTGTTCATATTGAATATCAAAATTAAAAGTTTGTCTATGAATAGATGTTTCTTAGAATTTTCACAATAGGAAGGTATAAAAAAAAAAAAAACATTGTCAAGAGTTCTTTAATTTTAACTTCATTTGTATAGTTTTTTTTTCTTTTTTTCTGT